GATATTTTTTCTGATTAGAGTGGAAATAGTATCTCAGAATAGTTTTTAATTTTTTATTTAACTAAGAATCTATTTATTTAATTAATTTATATTTTTTGTTAAGTTGATTGGGGTGACATTGGTTAATAAGATGATACAGGTTTGGAGTATACATTCCTGATGCTAGATCTGTTTATTGCACTGTGTACCCACCACCTAAAGTCAGACCATCTTCTATCACTATGTATTAGGCTCCTCTCCATCCTCCACCCTTCCTACTCTTTCTTCTGGCACCCACCACATTGTTGTCTGTGTCCATGACTTTCAGTTTTATATCTTACGTGTGAGTGAAATCATATGGTTCGTAGCCTTTTCTGTGTGACTTATTTCACTTGGCATAAAATTCTCAAGGTACATCCATGTTGTCACAAATCGCAGTACTTTATCTTTTCTAATTGCTGACAACAAAACAAAGAGGCGGCTGAGGAATGGAGATGATATTTGCAAACAACAGCTCCAACAAAGGTTTAATATCCAAAATATATAAAGAACTCATAAAATTCAATACCAAACAAACAATCCAATTGAAAAATGGACAGAGGACCTGAACAGACACCTCTCCTAAGAAGACATACAAACAGCAAACACATACATGAAAAGATGTTCAGATTCACTAGTAATTAGGGAAATACAAATCAAAACTACAATGACGTACCACCTCACACCTGTTAGAATGAATATATCAAAAAGATAAGTGATAATAAGTGTTGCAGAGGTTGTGAAGAAAAGGGAACCCTTGTTCACTGCTGGTGGGAATGTAGACTGGTACCAGTCACTATTGAAAACAGTCTGGTGCTTCCTTAAAACACTAAGAATAGGGTTACCGTATGATGCAACAACCCCTCTCTTGGGTATCTATCCAAAAAACTGGAAAACATGTATTCACAAAGCTATATATGCACCCCTGTGTTCATTGCAGCAGTATTCACGGTGGCTTAGACACCGTGACAACAAAAGTGTCCTTTGATAGAGGATTGGATAAAGAAGATGTGGTACAAACACACAATCAAATAGTTTTGACAGTTAATTTTTTAAAACAAATTATAACAGGTACATGCTTACTGGAAAAGAATTAAACAGTACATTAGCACGTAAAGTGAAAATGGTCCCTCAGTGTTCCTCTACTCTCATTCACTGGGCGTAACACTAACTTTGACATGACACACATAGACACAGTGTATGCATATATATACACACACATATACGTTATTAAGAATGAGAATGTGTGCTGTAAGTTGTCAGGTATCTTCACTGGTGTGGAGAACAGGGTGGGGTGAGTGGGTTAAGCACATTTGTTTCTGTACACCCTTCTGCATCTTCGGAATTTTATGATGTGTGGATATGTTACTTCTTTAAAAAAGAATTTTTTAAAATTACTGAGGACAAATGTAAGTGTTAGGGGTACTCAGGTACCCTCAGAATTTAGATTATTTGTGCACTGAGGACATTCTCAAATATTTGAATTTTAAAAAATTAATGGTAATTTAGCACATTTTAGAAATATCTTTACAATTTGTTAGTAGTACTGAGAGGTAGTAACTTTTTTGGTTTAACACGTGAATCATTACTTGCGTCACGTGCATTGTTTTTTGTTCTTTTCATGCAGAGGGTACATGGTAATGGGCGACTCTTTCAACACTTCCTTATTCAAGCAAACTTTTCAAAGAGTCTTTACTAAAGACATGCATGGACAGTTTAAAATGGGTTTTGGTGGTACATTAGAAATAAAGGTAAGAAACAAAGTTGATGTGTGATATGTTATCAAAAGAAATTTGTAGGCTTGATCATAATTTTAAATTACATTAGTCAAATTTAACATATGCTTTAAAAATAGTGATTATATTGTATTGAAATTCAAAGTTATAGATTTTGTTCATTAGGAAAATGTCATTATTAAATAGACAGTGAACTATTACTTGAGCATTTCTGCATAATTGTTAGAAAAGAAGATATTATGTAGGTAAAATTTGCTTTAACTTTATGATTTTCTTTATATAGAGCTTAACTTTTTTGTGTGCTTGGTCTTTTTTGGTTTCTTTATGCTAGTATCTTCAGTTTATCCTTATGCTAGTGCTAGATTTTTTAAACTGCAGTGATTGGTATCTAAAGAGAAACCTGTGCTATTCTACTTGTATAGTCAATAATTAATTTATGGTTGGTAGTTTGTTGGTAATATTTTGTCATTCATTTTAAATTCAAATTTTAAAAACTCAAAGGCTTAGTGTTAAAGTGCATTGCAAGCACTTTGATTTTGAATTTTCATTAAATATTTCTTATTAATCTTGTTATTTTATTGAACGCTTGCTAAATGTTTCCCATATTAAGCTAAAAAATTATAGAGGTTGCAAAGGATATCTAAGAACAAGTTTTCTTAGAAACTTAATTTTGATAGAAAGACAAGGTAAATGCAATAGGATGAAATAATAGTAGATTATGAAAGTGTTATAAAGGTTCATGGACAAAAAATGAATGTATCTGGGACACAATTTATCAAAAAAAGAAATGATTTTATTATGATTACACTGGTTTTTGAAAGATGGCAGACTTGAAGTGAGTTGAGGAGGATGCATTTTAGTCACCTCAGTGTGAAGAGAGGCACAGGGGAGAAACAGCACAGTACGTTTGGGGAAACTGCCCAGTGAGCGCGAATGGTTTGTATGGAATGTAAGGGAAGTAGTTTAATTCTATGTGTTGGTTGTGTCTTGGGCAGAATTTGTCTGAGACTTGCATTCAGCCTTTGTCAGGAAAAAGAATCTCAAACAAGAAAATTGAATTAGTTTTTCTAATTTTTTTTTTTAGATATTTAAGTGATAGCTTAGGTTTTGATGTCAGTGGAGACTGGAGAATAACCAATCTTGGTGATGGGTTTCTGTGGTAGTGAAAACAGAAGAAGGCGTCAGAGGTTTTGGGCCAGGGCATAGGACTTTGGGGGATGGGAAGATACTGAGCTGAAGGTGAGTTACTAAGTGAAGACCTCTGGGCAGCCAGAAATAGAGGATTAAAGTTAGGTCAAGGCTAGATTTTAAATTTGGGGGTTAACACAGAAGTGCTCACTGATTGATTACTTAAAAATATTTTTATTTATTTTAGAGAGAGAGGAAGGAAGGGAGGGGGAGAAAGAGCAAGAGTGAGAGAGAGAGGGAGAGAGAGATGCATTCATTGGTTGATTCTTGTACGTGTCCTGACTAGGGATCGAACCTGCAACCTTGGCATAGCAGGACAATGCTCTAGCCAACTGAACTGCCCTGCCGGGGCCACTGATTATTTTAATGTTAGTATATTTTTATTGACTTTTTAGTTTTAAATGTGGAAGAATATCTTTATTCTTATGTAGTTAAGGTTTAATGTGTGAGCTTATCTTTGAGCACATCAAAGTGTACTATGTTCTTCTTTTGCAGACCTCAAGGGAAATAAAGATTTCAGGAGCTATTGGACCCTGTGTGTCTCTCAATTCTAAAGGACCCTGTGTGTCTGAAAATGTAAGTCACCTTTATTCTAAAAAGATAATATAGTTTAATTCTCATGACAGAAATAACAGAGACCTGGGTTCAGCCTATAACATTTCTTTTAAAATATTGTGTGGACTAAGTTTTTCAGTAGAATGTGGTTCAGCCTTCACTGGCACACCTATGTTTGTGACTGCTCTTTCTGCATACCGTTTTCCCCATCCACCCCTAAATTAAAACTTTAGCGCTGTTACTGGTCTTCTATTTTTTATGTCTGAGTTAACTCCTTGCCCCAGTGTACCTAAATAACAACAACAACAACAACAACAAATAAACAAACTATGATTTGTAAATTTAGAGACTTCTGAAAATCAAAATTCAGAAATTATTTTGTTGGTAGAATTTACTATAAGTATCCAAATTAGACAGACTTGATTAAATTCCTTTCCTATTATTCCATCTAGTGGAGGTATAATACACTTAAAATGGTAGACTTACGTTCTGTTGCTATAGAGCAGATGATGGGACCAATAACACGAGTGGTTAATCATCTTAAAGTGACTGGGTTAAGAATTACTTTAAGCAGTCCGCAGGGTAGTTTATTTCTTAGAACTTTTCTTCAGTGCAAGACTGCTTATATTACGCAATGCTCATCCACAGAACCTGTATTCATATGTGCGTATATTGTCTGTTAAGTCACTATCTCTTTACACATATCAAATAGTTGGATAGGATAATGCAATTATTTTGTTAAATGGTATATCCTTTAAAGTCTAACTTGCTTTAATACTTGTGCAGTTTACTTAGCAAAAATATGAATCATTTTATAATTTTATTGTATAAAAATTGCTTGTTTTCATGATATATTTTACGATTTAAAAATTTTTAAGTTTTACTTTTCAATGAATTTGTGAGAAAACCTCTTAGCGGAGGTTTTAGTCCCTCCTTTACACCTTGGTATATGTTATAGTACTAAATTGTATCGTCTGATTTTCAAACACTCTACGTCCCATTTTTACAGGAGATAGGAACAGGTGGCACTTGTCAGTGGAAGATATGTGGACTTAGTCCCACTTCGACCTTAGCTATATATTTTGAGGTGGTCAATCAGGTATGACTTTTTATATTTGAACATTCAAATGTGTGTTTGAACAGCTACTTAATTTAGGCCATGAATATTTTGTATTTTTCCTTCCAGTAGTAAATATGACTAGGCTTAGTCTATTTTGGAGCTTTTGTTTGTTATTTTCTGTTTTTCAAAGCTAAAAACTTCTTGGTGTGAGGACATACTGTAATGGGAAGGGTTGTCAGAGAAACCTGCACATGCCCAACCTTGGGCAACGCAACTTAGTCTCGTTTTTTTTTTTTTTAGTATAAAATTGAAGCATAAGTAAAATCCTAAATTTTGTTTCAGCTGTGCATTTTTGTAGTTTGGTATCTAGCACCTGATTGTCACAAGGTACGTGTAGGTAGCTATATAAATATCTGATAAGAGAGTTTTTTTTCTTTTGTTTAAAAAATATGGAACACCTCACAAATTTGTGTGTCATCCTTGCGGATGGGCCAGGCTAATCTTTTTTGTATTGTTCCAGTTTTAGTGTATGTGCTGCCGAAGTGAGCACAAGAAAGTTTAATATGTCAAAATCCATAGAAAAAAATTGCAAGGTAAAGATTCCAATGTTTGGAAAGACTTTTTCCACTGCAGAAGGAAATTATCATATTAGTGATTTAATATATAAATTATTGACTTATATACTAGTAGTTATTAAGTATAAAGTGAACTACAGACTGTTAATAATCAGCCTTCCTAAGACAGGTGCAGAAAAATTTTTTTCTAACAGTGAAAATTAGTGAAAAAGGTAATAGCTCTTATTGACCAAAAGAAACAAAATCAAAGCAAGAGCATTGTCAAAAGGCATGATGAAAGTTTTCCCGTTGACTACTTGCTATTTTTTTCTGAGGATCATTACTATAATCATTACTCTCTTCTCACTAATAGTTTTCTGTTGGTCATCTGTTCATCATGTGATTATGTTCATAAAAGTTCTGTTTTCATTTTATATAGGAGAGGAGGACTTAGCTTCTCTTTCCAATTACTGTTAGGCAAAATTGCTTCACACCTTTCCTTATCTATTAATTTCTTTACACTTCTCCCTTCATTTTATTTCACATCCTTCTGAGTTATGTACTACATGAAATCGATTTCCTGGTTGGACCCACTCCTCTTATCCTTAATCATTTAACCCCTTTCCCAAATCCATTTTTTTAATGTGACATATTACAGTTCTGTCTGTACTGTAAAAAACGTCATTCTAATTGACATTAGAACACATTTTATTAGTGCTAGCATATGCAGTCAATGACTGTAGATTTTGCTAATAGATTTTGCTTAGTTTTTACTCTCTTACGTCTACACAGCATAATGCTCCGATTCCTCAAGGAGGGCGTGGTGCGATTCAGTTTGTGACTCAGTATCAGCATTCAAGTGGGCAGAGACGCATCCGAGTGACCACCATTGCGAGGAAGTAAGTGGTACTTGTTAGAGATTTAACTTATATATCAAAACTATTCTGGATTGTGCTCCCAAACTGGGTTCCTATTTTGATTGACTAGAAAATGCACATTTGTGACTAATAGCATTTTATTTCTTTCTAGCCCAGCTTAGCTGCTAAAATATTCATTGTTAAGAACTGTAAAACAATTTAAAAATCTATGCCTAAGACACATTTTATAAAATGTTCTTATTTACCTGATGCCCCTGAAAGGAGAAAAGCTAACATTATCCCCTAATAGGCCATAATAATATATATATAATGCATTATATAATAGCAGCACAATAATTAATTGCATTACTTTTCAATTAATAAAGTTCTTAGCTACTGTTTTCACTATGTATTTTTTCAAGTGTTAAGTCATTTAATTCATTTATAAAACCTTTATTTTGTATCTGCTTATAGATTGAGTACTTTGGGAAAGGGTATGAAATGGAAAAGACTTGAATGTACTTGGTCTGCCATATGATGATGTGGTACAGACCAGTCTTCAAAATATCTGTGGGGAAGGGCCAGTCCCCTCCCGCCTCCACTCAATGCTTTAGAGACTAATACTTTTATTAAACACGATACAACGTATTAATAGAAAAATTGAAACAATTCAAAATACAAGTCCCTGTTTTTTATTAAATTCATCACATACACGATTTTGTTAAATCACTCAAAAGTTTATAATTACTCTCAGTTTTGTTTCTTATTTCATTGTGAACTGGCACTAGGTTCAATTTCCACACTTTGACTAGGACTGGTCAAGACCACAGAAGGGAAAGTCTCTTAACAGTTAATACTATAGGGTAGTGTTTTTGTGTATCATAGTTATGCCCTACCTTTGTTGAGATAGTTAGTTTCCAAAAGAGAATAATTAAGCACAGACTGAGATAATTCACAGTTGTCAGGTATTTGGAAAATAATACAAAATTCTTTGTTTACTTGAAACAAAAATAGAGGGAGAAGAATTTTGAAAATATTTAAAAGTATTACTGCCTGCATTCCCTTGGGATCACTTCTTAAAGCTTTGAATCTCGTAAAAGTTGTCTACCTTTTCAAGAAGTCTGTAAGTACTGCAGACTGGCATAAACGCAAGTACTTTAGAACTGGGGTCAGCTGAAGTATACAGAATGCTGCCAGTGAAATAGTAAACAAACAAAAACTGTTGGTGGGTCTGCTCAGGAGCAGTTTGATGGATTGGATTTACAGAAAATGTTTATTTAATAGATTACTGCTATTTTATGCATAATATTAAATTAATCACTGAGAATAAAATTTTCACTTATTAACTTGTAATTGGTTTTAGTTGGTATATTAACATGGAGAAAAAACAATACATAGTGATTTTATTTATTTTTTATTTTTATTTTAAAAAATAATGAAAATTTTTATTTATTTTCAGAGACAGATAAAGGGAAGGAGTAGGAGGGACACAGAAATATTGATGAGTTGCCTCTTACATGTCCCCAACTGGGGACCTGGCCCATAACCCACCCATGTGCTCTCATTGACCTTTTGATTCCCTGGCTGGTTCTCAGTCCATTGAGCCACACCAGCTGAGGTTACATAGTGATTTTAAGTATGTAATTTTTATCAGTAGTAATTGAATTAAAGACCAATGAGGCTAAATATTATTACTAAATAAGGAATGGGTTAACAATGAGATCAAGGAAGAAATCAAAAGATATCTCGAAACAAATGAAAATGACAGCACAGCAAACCCCAAATCTGTGGGACATAGCAAAAGCAGTCCTAAGAGGGAAATTTATAGCATTATAGGCCTATCTCAAGAAATAAGAAAAAGCTTAAAATACACAATCTAACTTTACACTTAAAGGAACTTGAAAAAGAAAAGCAAAGCCCAGAGTGAGCAGAAGAGAGGAAATAATAAAGATCAGAAAAAAATGATATAGAATCTAAAAAAAGCAATATAAAAGATCAATGAAACCAAGAACAGGTTCACTAAAAAGATAAGATTGACAAACCTTTAAACAGATTTAGTATAAAAAAAAAAAAGAGGACTAAAAAATAAAATCAGAAATGAAAGAAAAGTGACAACTGATACCAAAGATAAAGGATTGTAAGCAGATATTACAAACAACTATATGTTACAAACTGGACAATCTGGATGAAATAGATAAATTGCTAGTACACTCTTCCAAAACTGAATCAGGAAGAATCAGAGAATCTGATAAGACAGATAACAACTAATGAAATTAAAGCAGTAATCCAAAAACACCAGGCAAACAAAAGCCCTGGACTGGATGCCTTCACAGGTGAATTTTACCAAACATTTAAAGAACTATAAAGGGACGAAATGATAATGAAACAATTACAATACAGATTAAATTAAAAGATAAAACAGCCTAGAGATGTGAAAAAATATAAAGAAGAACTAACTCCTGTCCTTCTCAAACTAATCCAAATATTCAAGAAGAGGGAAGACTCCAAACTCTTTACAAGGCCAGTGTGGTCCTAATTTTAAGGCCAGGTAAAGACACAACAAAGAAAAAATTACAGGCCAATACCTCTGATGAACGTGCATGCTAAAATATAAAAAATATATTGGCAATCCAGATCCAGCAATACATTAAAAGATCATACACCATGATCAAGTGGGATTCATCCCAGGGATGCAAGGATGGTACAGTATTCACAAATCAATAAACATAATACACCATGTAAAAAGTCAAGGCCAAAAATCATGAGATCATATCAATTGATGCTAAAAATGCATTTGATAAAATCCAGTACCCAGTTATGATAAAAACACACAGCAAAGTAGGAATAGAGGGAGCATACCTCAGCATAATAAAGGCCATGTATGAGAAACCTATATCCAATATCACATTCAACAGGCAGAAGCTAAAAGCTTTCCCTTTAAGATCAGAAACAAGACAAGGGTGCCTGCTTTCACTTTCTTATTCAACATAATACTGGAAGTTCTAGCTTCAGAACTTCCAGTCTGATCAGAAAAGAAAAAGAAATAAAAGGCATCCAAATGGGACAGGAGGAAGTAAACTCATTATTGCAGACAACATGATAGTGTGCATTGAAAACTGAATAGCAGGGGTGTCAGACCTTTTGCGGTTGCTTTTAAAGGGCCAAATGTAATTTTAGGACTGTATAAATGTAACTACACCTGAACTAGGGGCAAGGAACTTGGCCCTGCCACTGGGTAGAAACAAGGTGCTGGGCCAAATAAAACAAGGCGGAGAGCCGGATTTGGCTTGTGGGCCTTGAGTTTGCCACCTGTGTCCTGTAGTCTCCACCAAAAAATTACTTGACCTGATAAGTGAATTCGATAAAACAGTGCAATACGAAGTCGATATTCAGAAATCAAAGGCATTTTTCTACAGCAACAATAAAATATCAGAAACAGAAATCAGGAAAATAATCCCATTACTATAGCAACAAGAAAAAGAAAGTACCTAGGAATAAATTTAACCTAGGAGGCAAAAGATCTGTACTCAGAAAACTATAGAACACTGAAGCAAGAAATTGAGGAAGATACAAATAAATGGAAGCCTCTACCTTTTTCATGCATTGGAAGAATTAGCATCATTAAAATGTCTGTACTATCCAAAGCAATCTACAGATTCACTGCAATTCCTATTAAAACACCAACGGCATATTTCACAGAACTAGAACAAATATTTCAAAAATTTATATGGAACCAAAAAATACCCCCAATAGGCTCAGCAATCTTGAGAAAGAAGAACAAAGCAGGAGGGCTGATGATACCTGATATCAAACTATACTACAAGACTATATAATCAAAATGTCTGGTACCGGCATAAGAGCAGATATAGGTCAGTGGAACAGAATAGAGAGCCCAGAAATAAACCCATGTCTCTGTGGTCAATATTTGACAAAAGGGGCATAAACATACAATGGAGTAAAAATAGCCTCTTCAATAAATGGCATTGGGATAACTGGACTGGTACATGCAAAACAATACAACAACAACAACAACAAAAGACTACCAACTTATACCATACACCAGAATAAACTTAAAATGGGCAAAAGACTTAAATATATGTTGTCATACCATAAAAGTCCTAGAGGAAAACAGGCAGTAA